CAGAGGTACCCTCAGGCTTCTCTGCTCAGTGACAAACACACATTAAAATAATTCAGGAGTAGTCAAAATTATAGGAAACAACTGAAAAAAGATCCCAGTGTTTTAAAGTTTAAATCCATACTGAGAAGCATTGCTCTCTCCTGGAATAGCTGTCTACTTCAACTCACGCTTATTGCAAATATGTGTTATGTGGCTGTAGAGAAGAGAGGGGTGAAGGGCAAACGCATGCCCACTGCCTTCAGGAATCCTCTGAGAGGTCAGATTGTCCCAGTCTGTGTGAGCCAAGTGTAGTCTGCCAGTGTACACTGCAAGTCTGCAAGTCCGAAATCCCAAGATTTGTCCATCAGATGAAAAGATCTGTAAATGAGAAAACAGGTTTTGGTATCATTCTTCAGTCATCGAGTTGCAAGTTTATGAATTCATTAGGATTCTTTGGTTACAGAAACAAGAACCAGTTCCAAATAGCTTAAGCAAAAATAAAAATCAACTGAAATAATGGTGAAATAATCATAGAACCTAAAGTGAGAAATTCTGCCCCCATGAGAACAATGAATTGAGTCTTCAGAATCTCCATTCTGTGCTTACCTCTCTTTGGCGATGCTTTCTATTTTAACCTAAGTGTCAGCTTTTGGCTAAACAAAAATCAGAGCCAGAAAGAAATGAAGCAAAGAAGAAAGGAGTGGAAATGGGTGTTTTCAGCCTTAGTTTATGTACCCTCCTTTTATGAGTTTCTTCTACTGTGATCAAATCATTGCTGGCTTCTTGCTTCAGGTCGCAGGGTCTCCCGATGGTCTGAAAGCCCCTCGGCATGCAATCGCTAGTTTTATCCTTTGTGTGTCCCGTTTCTCAGCATCAGTTGTACCAGTTATCAAATTGTGAATTTTCTGCTTAAACCACCCTCTGGGGCAAAGCATAGGATTATCATCTTTTCCCAAATAGCTGTTTCTCATTCTTGTAGATTCCTACAGGTATAAACTAAAGCTTCTTTCTTATGAAAAATGTTTGTCCTAAAATGGAGACGAGTGTGGCACTGGCTTTGGTAACCCTCTGTCTGCCTCTGCGATGAGGATTATGTAAACATGCGGGAATTTTGTTATGCTTTGAAACTGACTACCTCCGCATCTCCAAGTGCTTTGGCATCACCTCCCTGACTGTCTAAAAAGTTGTTGAATCATTAACCGCTGCTGAGACCACGCTGGGCTTCCTTTGAAATGGGCGTCTCTGAGCTGCGGTGCACAACATTAATGAACAATAAGCGATGGCTTGCTGCTTCCTCCCCAGACCGTCCTGGGCTCTGACAAGAGCTGCTGCTGCCTTTGCGCAGTCTCCGGCCCATCTGGCCTCAGAATGACAGGTCCGCACTTCCTACAGCAGAGCTGAGTGGACCGCGTCTCTCAGACAGCCTTTCCGAGAGCTCGGAGGTTGAAGACATGCTTTGCTTTTGTCAGTGCTCTTTGCCGCAGTGGTTTGTGTGTTCTTTAGCCATCCAGCCCATTCTACAGATGAGCAAGTAAGACAGGATCTGAACCCTGTAGACAGGGGCAGAAGTAAGGATGAACAAAACTCTTCACAAAATGCCAGCTTTTTATAGCAAGGAGAAAGAGCCCATATTCTCTTTCCAAATCTAACACCTACTTACCTACTTTTCAGTCTAACAAACAGCTACAGGAGGATTCCAATTATCACTTTACACATTTAATTCCCTATACCATCCCTTCTTCCCTCAAGGAGCCGAAAGATGCTTGAGGAGTTAGAGTACCTAGAATTCTACTTTCTAAATCCCAGTTAATATGAAGAGCAACTTGATTGCTATAAGGAAAAGCAAAATCTTTATATTTTATTTTATTTCAATGAAAGTAAATGGCTAATTATCCCGTGCACTAACATGCAGTATACTGAGACTCGGGATTTGGTGCTTGATTCAAGGGCTAAGCTGAGTTCTTCCCTCCACGTCGCTTGACTGAATATCACAGCCCTGAGGCTTTCTCTCCTTGAAGGAAGTACAAGAGCACAAGTAGACGCATGACACTCACTGTGCGTGTCTCCACTGCCCATCAGGCATCACTGCACAAAGGTTTGTGTGCGCTCAGAGGCAGGGGGTTGTTCCACTCCCCATCCATCTACCTGGCTTGATCAGGAAGCTGAGAGCTTAAGGGACTTGCCCGAGGTCTCACAACTGTAAATGGCAGAGCAAGGGTCCACACCCACCCCGGCTGACTCCAAAGCCCATACTCTCTATCCTAAAACAGCCCTCTCTGTGCAGTGTCTGTGTGCCACAGAGAGTTCACGAATGTCCTTTCCTGTCCCTCACCATATGGTAGAACTAGGCTGGCACAAACTTCCTCTAGACATAATAATGCCCTTGTCTGCTTCCTGTGAGCCAGAGAACTTGACGTGCAGCTAACAGAACTGTCTCAAATATAATGAGTTTACTCTTCACTTTTGAAAGCCAATTGTAAACATATGAGATTTGAATCTCTGCAGCAGTGTTTACCAGAGTCTGTTTCAGGGACCCACAACAGCAGTGTTTGCCCAGAGTTTGTTTCAAACACAGCATCTGCACTCTTCTGAATCTTAGTGAGACTGAATCCCTAGGAGTAGCGTCCAGTAACCTGCATTTTCAGGGAGTGCGCAGGTGTTTCTTCTGCACGCTGAAGATTGATGGTCATTAGAGTGGCATCCAGAAGTTTCGGGAGATTTGCACATCATCAATTCAATGGCAGATGATTGTAGAAAGCTTTCAAAGACCATCCGCATTCAATAGCTATTTCAGGGAGAAATGTAATGTGCAGGAAACATTCCTAAATCGTGGCAGTTTTCTATGTGAGCCAGCTGGTTAAGAAATCTTGAATAATTTTCCAAAAGACTCTGGTTAAGTGGACACATACACTCTTTACCAGAAAGATACAGAAAAGACAGTTTTCCACCTTGGACTCAAAGTGAATCTTTCAGAATGAGTTTCTGATTGTGTTTATATTTGCTTAAAATTCTTTCAAACACTGTAATACAAAGCACATAGGTTCCTGTAATCTGGCCACGTACGTCTCTCTGTAATTATCCCAAATTACACCACTGCCACCCAGCCCTCTGCTACCTTCACCCGCTTCAGCACAGCAAGCACCACAGTGTCTTTGCCTGTGATCCTGGGTGAATCATATCTCCACTCACTCAGTGGCTATGTGTGTCTGCTCTTCCTTTGGAGGTCAGAGTCACTGTCACCTGATCAAGAAAGCCTTCTCCAGCCTGCCACAAGAAGTTGGGACATACTATTAGCTACCCCTGCTGAGCCACCACTCTAGGACTCTCTCCGTGGTTTTTCCGTCTGCTTTTGACAGTGTGGTAACTTTATTCCCATCTGTCTTCACACATAGACTATAAACAAGAACCATAACTGCTTTGTGCATTCTGCTGTCTAGCTGAGGGTGTGCTACATAGTAAACATGCAATTAATCATGGCATATCATGAATGAAAAAAATTTAATTCATAATGTCAAGAGAGACTTGACTCTTAATGTAAAATCTAACATCCATTCTTTAGGCATATTCTGCATTTTTTTTTTCACGTCTCTTTGTCTGTCAATAGCAGTGGAGCTGGGTAGGTTGGAAAGTCTGAGTCCTCAAAGGCCTTTATGTGTTCTAGATTCCTTTTGTTTTTCAGCAGTTCTTAAGCCTGATGCTATTTTTAAATAGCTCAGAACATAGTTTACAGTGATTAGTTGTTAAAAGAAAAATTAATGAAAGAATGGAAATTTCTGCTTTTGAAAAACCACAAAATAATTACTTACTTCCTCTTTTACTTCAAAGGCTGAAATGGATTCTCATTACTGAACAGGAGTAGACAGCGTGATGGGCTTAATTGGTGATGAGACAGGTTTGATTTCATTGCATTTTAACACCCACATGTCTAGTGAATAATACAGCAACTATATGGTGGGCGAGCACCATGCTACCTTCCTTAACATGCTATTGGTGACACTGTGTCTCCTTCCTCACAGAAACCTGATCACAAGGACATTTGTTTAAGCTAATTTTGACACGATGGATTTGAAATGCTCCCAAGTTATAAGTATCTTAAAAGCTAGAATTGTTCATCTCTTAAGAACTATGTAGCATTTAGCAAACTGTGAATCTTTAAAATTATTATAAAGCGTTATCTTCTGGGTATTAACTCAAAAACTTACAGCCTGCTTGAGACATAAATATCTCAAATACCAATTATAAAATGTGTATTCTCTCGCTCATTTTTAAAATGCCTCCATCAGGGAGCTGAGTGTCCAGGGCCTCCAGACTCCTTTCTTGTCTAAGCACATGTTTCACCTCATTCCTGTACTGGAAAACACTTTGAGGGACACAGGTGATTTTAGTGGATTTGAGTGCCATGCAAAACAGGTAATGATGGATTGTACCCCACACAGTTGGTTACACTTGCTGACATTATCACCTTCCAAAGTCAAAATCTAATATCCATGTCTTACGAATCTGTAGGAAATGATGGATCGTAATATTAGCTAACAACTATGCTTCACGCCTACAGCATGCTTAATGCTTTTATGCAAGTTATGACTCAGTCTACACAACAACACTGTTAGGGTGATACTCTCGGACAGCCCACTTTATAAACAGAAAAACAGAGGCAGAAGGTACGTGGCAGCCACACTGGGATTAAGCCACTTTAAAAGCAGGATCCTGACCCAGGCAGCCTGCCCTAGAGCACCGACTGGTAAATATTAGAGCAGACTGCCTCCCATATGACTTTATTTAAGAGCAATGAATCTGGAAGCTTGGTCCTGCTTTCTTTCTTTCTCTTGATTTTTCTCTTAGAAGTTGGGGGTGGGAGTTGTTTTGTTGTAAAGAGACGCTGAAGACGAGCCTGCTTTTATTCTGAACAGTTTTTCCAAAGCCATTTACCTTTATCCGGGACCAGGGAAGACACTGATTCATAAGCCAGAGCACTAATGAGCTTCCATCCCTGTCTCCCTCCCTGTGTCTCCCCTCTGCAGTTAATAGCCAAGATTCCAACCATCACAGCTGTGTGCAACTTGCACGGGGAGAAGCTGCAGGTATTTAAGCAGTCTCATCCAGACATAGTGAATACACTCTTTCCTCCGTTATACAAGGAGCTCTTTAATCCTGACTGTGCCACCGTGTGCAAATGAAGGGGACCGGAGGACTGCCTCACAGTCATGGAATGCGTCTCCATTAGGACAACAGCAATGTGTTTCATGAAGACTTGAGAAAAATGTCACTACTGCAACACTAGGAATGTCCTGCACTTAATAGAATTATTTTTCACCGCTACAGTTTGAAGAATGTAAATATGCACCTGAGTGGGGCTCTTTTGTTTGTTTGTTTTTGAAATGATCATAAATATACAAATATAGGACACTGGGTGTTATCTTTTTTTAATTTTATTCGGGTATGTTTTGAAGACAACTGTTTATAGAATTTTATTGTAGATATATACAAGAACAGAGCGGTACTTTACATGATTACTTTTCCTGTTGATTGTTCAAATATAATTTAAGAAAATTCTACTTAATAGGCTTACCTATTTCTATGTTTTTAGATAGTTGATGCATGTGTAAATTTGTAGCTGTCTTGGAAAGTACTGTGCACGTATGTAATGAGTATATAATATATGAGAATATTATATATGACTATTACTCATACATGCACAAGCACTGTGGCTTGAAATACCATACCTACTAGCGATGGAGGTTCGGTCAGGCTCTCTCTTTTATTTACCTTCTATGTTATCTGTTACTTTTATGTTAGACAATCAGGGTTTTGTTTTTCCAGCCAGAGTTTTCATCTGTAGTCAACAGCAGGATGGTACCAATTCAGACTAAGTGTACAGAGGAATCAATATAATGCATGGCCTTTATTTAAAAATGCTATTTCTATCAATTACATCAAAGCCTTGTCAGGATGGTACATAGTGGAGGAGAAGGGAAGTATTTGGAGCCATTTTCCTGTTTTTAAGAATTGGACTGCTGGGGATTTAGCCTAATGGAATAAGCGCCTGCCTGGCAAGTGCTAGGTCATGAGTTCGATCCCCAATACCAAAAAAAAAAAAAAAAAAAAAAAAAAAAAAAATCCAAAAAAAGAACTGGACTGCAAATAATATTGTAAAAGCCAGGACTTTTATTTTTTTTCAACCAAATAATTCTATATTTTCTATTTTTCACAAAAACACATTAAACCCTTTTTTTCTTTGGATTAGGATTTCCAGTTGTGAAAGAAACTTAACTTTGGTGCTTGTTGTTGTCAACCAAAAAATACAGTCCTGTGGATTATGACCATCAGCATTTTTTTCCTAGTAAAATTAAAATGAAAACTTCAATCAAAACCCAGGGTCCCAGTGCCATTTTATGTAAACATTTCCTCTCTAACTATGTTTTGGCAAATAGGCAGAAATAGAATCATGAAAAATAAAGAAATAATTTCTATATTTATTTTCATTATACATTTGTTAGAAAAAGTGGTGGGAGAAGTGGGACTTTCTGTGTCCTTCTCATCTGGGGCAAATAGTTATTTTCAATTCCAAAACACTCTATTCTAAAAGTACAGCAAAAAATGGATAATTGGAAAAAATATATCTATTCTATGGAATTAATATGCCCCATGCTAACACTATTACCCATGTGGTTTGAAGTTACATCTTCCAGCCACTGTAAGATTGGTCCTAGCAACTTATAAAAGTACAGAACCCATTGGTGACATCCGAATCAGGAAATGTGGACTTTTTTATACCAGCATTTCCTTCTGCATCAGATCTCCAGTGCATTTTAGCATCAGAAAAGCACAAATTCCAAGGCATATGTTCTGCCTGTTTCCTGGAGGCTGATGCCTGTAGTCTTATCTGGCCCAAGGAAGATGATTAAAAAGGAGGTTAGGGGAGACATTGTGTATAAGACAATAAATTACATTCTTGTGTGTGTGTGGCCCAGCTCACACTCATAAAGACCTGTAGACACCACACACACGTGAGTCTACACACACACGCACACACACCCCTACTTTGTAAATTTCAGTCAATGGAGACTGATTTTTTTTCATGTGCTGTGCTCCCCTGAAGTTCATAGTTGAGAGTCACCTCCAAGACACCTCAGAACTCCTGCTTGATGATCAAAACAGTAGGGTTAGTCTTTTTCTTTTAGAAAACGAAGCCTTTTCTCATCTCATGATTGATGAATTCCAAACCACTGGGGAAAAACAAAAAGGCTTTAAAATAATGAATCTCTTTCTCAACTACTGTTATATTCAATTAATTTAACTACATTGAACCAAATTACCTTTGGTTCTAAGAAGACAGCTGTAGACTGCTTATTATGCTGCTACAGGGACTCAATTCTTTTTGGTGTAAATGTCACTCCTGCTAGCTCTTTGTATAAAGAATTAATTCCAAGAGTCATATTTCCTTCTAATGGAAAGATTACTTTACTGATTGCTAGGAAAACAGAGTAATGGAAGGCACTCAATTAAACCAAGCTGTTTCCAAATGCAATGTATGTTTTATGATTGGCTGGTGATAGGCGATGCTTAATGTGTCTACTTGGTGTTTCCCTTCGAGCTTTGAACTTAGGTCCAACTTTGTTTTCATTGTTCTGCTGGCCTGGCGTTTCCCATCACCAGCCTGCAACTCCTGCTCAGTTGCAAAGGGAATCATTTGTGGCCTCCAGTTTACCTTGGAGGATTGAAATTGGCTCAATTGACGAAGGAACAGAGAATTTTTTTCCTCCCTTGTCCCATGGGTGGTGTAGGAAAAAGATTGTTCCCCACACTTGCCTCAGGAGGTACTGGCTTTGAATTAGTGTCATTTCCACTAGTGTAAGCATTTCACGGGTACAGCCTGAACCTTTTGAAGCCAGGGGACAGGAAATAGAGCTGGCAACTGAACCGGAACAGCACAGTGGAAACCAGTATGTCGCTCAGCCACTTTGGTTGAGAAAGACATTTCCAGTTTGGGCTACAGTTGCCAAATTTTCTCCTCAAAAAGATTCAAGTGAAGTTTTTTAAGATAACAAAACCTTAAAAAAAACCTGGCCAGTGACCACTTGAACAGCATGTCAAGGTGTTTTGAAATTTTGATAAGAATAACTTGCTTTCTAGCAGTGCAACCCCAGCACTTAATTCCTTCCCTCCCTCGAGAACTAACAAATGTTCTCAACACATTCACGGAAAGGCATGCGCTGGAAAGAGGGATCCGCATTCCGTGCGTTTCACGCTTTGTAAATGACAATCACTTTAATGTAGATGTTGCACTGTATCCGCTCAGGGATGTTTAATTAAATAAAAAATAAAAAATAAGATACATTGAGAAGGAGGGAAAACAAAACAGGATAATGACAACAAAATGTAAATGGCATGAATTAAAGGTGCCGATGAGAGAACCTCTCTGACAAGGCTTTCAGACCACTGTGTATAAATTCACATCACAAACTGACTCTATTTGGCTAAAAGTTACACATGTGTAAGAACAATTTAGTTTATTTTCTAAAATCTGTTAAGAGCCAAATAATCGAGCTGCCCCATTTAGAGGAATATGCATGTTTAACTCCTAGCAAATCCAAGTTTCCTGTACAAGTCCTGAGGAAGGAAAATACAGAAATCTAACTGGAATTCTGTGAAATTGACAAGGAGGTGAAGCCCTGTGAACTCACATGGGAATACACTGTGGTCTGTAAAAAGAAGGGCAGAGGTTGGAGGAAAAATAGGAGAACAAAGGGATCCCAAATCTAATCTGACTTCCCGTATACATCCCTGCTTCCTAGGACTGGGTCATCTTGTGTCCCTTTTTCTGTGGCTTTTTTACCCCTAAACCAAAAGCGTAGGTTAGAGGTATAGTTTATAAAACACATCCTTTCTGGATTTCCCTTGCTTTAACACTGTCTCTGGAGCTTCAAAGTAAAACAGAAACTACAATGGCCTCTTGGATAATTAGACTTCTTTGGCAGAATGTAAGCGACCCTGAACTGTAAGGAAGTCTGGATATTAACAAGAGACGCCAGGTAGAGAGCAGGTAATTTCCATGCTGACTGGCTTGTTCAACACCTAACTTTGTAGCAGTCGAGCCAAACTGGAGAAAAGGGAAAAAGCTGAGCATCAGCGCCTGCCGTCTACACTGATATTTGTATCGGGCTTGCATGCAAAAACCATTCTTGTGTCTGAAGGACAACCTAAAACTTACCAGTGTGTTTTCCAAAACACGTTAGATGCAAATGTCAGTGTCATTCGAGGAAAATTTCTGCTGCATTTGGAAATTAGAAGAAATACTTTTTACCTCTTTCTTTTCTTCTCTAAACTTTTGTTTCCCATGAATTTACTGCAATGGGTGGTAAATTCAGGCGAGGACGCCTGTACCCAACAGAAGCAGCCTCCAGTAGGACAGCTACACTTTAAAATGCATGTCTGCAGTGATCCTTTCTAAAGGAGAGAGAAAACCCACCATCTGCTCTACATAAGATGCTATTAAATGTTCTGTTTGCAAATGTTGGTCGCAGTGGTTTGTAGGAGACCACAGGGTCTCTCAAGAATGAGTTAACAGCCTTTTTTAACAACAGGACCAGAGGTTATGTTCATTTAAAGCTGAGGGTAAAAATTCAAAAAAGTAAAAGGGCCACGGCGTAGGTACGGATGAGGGAGACAGTGCAGTGGGAAATGCCCCACCTGGAACGGATTGTTTCAGCTTCTGAATTTTATAAAAATCCTGCAAGCTGTGAGTGGCGGCAGGTGATTTAGAGATACCACACCAACTCATCTCTGAACAGAAGGGGGTCTCGTGGGTTGCCAGCTTCTGACCTCTGGCTTAAATCAAAAATCAAACTTAGGACCCTGTTCAGCTGGAGCAAGCCTAGGGAGACTCAACCAAGAATGGCACTGTGGGAATTACACTAAGACAGGGAAGAAAGGGGATTTACCCTTCTGATTCACTCTGTGGTTTCCATGTTTAATGATCGCTATTCACTTACAGATACTTACAGTCAGGGGCCAGCTGAACACCTTAGCAGTCTGAGAATGCAGACAGGTCAGTGTAGCGCTGGCTGCTCCGGAATGCTTTTATTTGTCTTGTCTGAACTCCCATCATCAGAGAGCCAGGAGGCTAGGTTTCTTGCCACTTTTCTCTGAAAGTCAAGTGTACAACTTCTGTGGTTTTGCGTCTCAACCTGTGTCTTTAACTATGTGGCTTCAGTACCTGTGATGAGTTCTTCCTCTCCCATAGTTGTACGTATCTGAAGACTTTCTTCTGCAATCCTGATAGCACAGTCCTTCCCCATTCTCAAGTGCAGACCATGGGTTCCTCTGCAGCACAGGGGGGTTGTCTGTTTGTGCACTGTTTTCCGAAGCTGCTGAAAGTCCTCCAAAGTAAATTGGCCCCAGTGATCTTTGCCTCCCACATGACCACAAGCACGACCTCCAGTGGGTCACAGAAAGCAGCTCCATTTTGGTTCTCAGGACCAAAAATAAAGCACTGGAATATAATGAGCCCAGTTCAGGGAAACACACAGTACCTGCACCCGACTGGGTAACGCAATCCTTACATTCGACTACGTCCTCCAGCCCCGTGCCTCAGTCACAGTGACACAAAGACCCAGGAGAGGCTGAAAGCCACAGAGCCCACATCCAAACACAGTACCGTCTGCTTCACACGAGAATGCAAATTACACCCACAGAAAACTGAGTATGTATTGTAGAAATGTAGAGGAAAAATAAAAATATTTTTTCAAATGTAATTACTTTTAATATATGCTTGTGAAAGGTCTGATACAATGTACGCTGTCTCTGTAATTTTTGCTGTACATAACTGGAGACAGTGGATACACTGATTTTTCTATGTCTCTGTTTAAGCATAAGACTTTGTAACAATTTTTTTAGAGGAGAAAAACAAAAAGAGCAAATATGTACTTGCTTCCTTTCCGAATGTTCCGTACTTCTCAGTTTTTTAATGGAAATCGGCTGTAACAGTGTAAGCACCCTGACAGGTCGTTGGTGTTAAGTGTGTGCTTTTTGTAATACTACTGAGAAAAGGACAAGGCTGTCAATTATCTCTGCTCCAAAGAATTTGTACTGCAGATTGGCTTAGGAACCGCCAACTCTTATCTGAACTGAACAATATGAAAAAAAAAAAAAAAGTTAGAAGAAAAATGTTGTCAAAGTCATCTTTCCTAGTAACAAATGGCTTTGTCCAAATCCTTTCTGCATGGATTAGCTTAAGGAAAACAAACTCCACTTTCTGATGAGCAAAATATTTTTGTACATGTTTATTTCTTATTAATAACCTGAGGTCAGACCATGAATTCGCTGAAGCCATAACTGACCTTCACCAAATAAATGTTGTAAAGAACCTGGGGGAGGGAAGGGGAGAGACTGAGAGGGAGGAAGATCTAAGGTGTCGTGAGTATAGCAACACGGGCAGGAGCAGGTCCCATGAAACTGATGCTTTTCCTGCATCCCACATAGGACTTTAAAAGGCTAGTATTTTATGATGAGCGATTTATAAGAAAAAAAAAGATATTTAGATTTAAAGTGAGACTTTCCAATATTTTTGAAATCCCTGACAATGCTTCCTTGCTTTTAGGATTGAGAGAAACGATTTTCGTATACTTCCAACATTCAGATTTAATGTTTTTACCTTAGCTCCAGCCCACACCTGGGGAGTGCAGAAGCTAAGTTCTCCAGAGGCAGAACCACGGGCTGTCCAGGGCCCGGCTGCCCCTGCTGACCTCAGCTGTGTCCACAGGGGCTTGCACAATGCTGGCCGTGCACAAAAGCTGCATTGCCACAAGTATGTAAAGTAAGTATATTCACTCTAAAAAGCATAGGAATTATACTTTTTTAAAAAACAATGCCTCCTATAGTCCACCATTGATTTTTCTGGAGCTTAATTACATTATTACCATGTATTCTTATCAGCCTATAGAGGCAAACGGCAAACTACAGATAAATCCAGTAACATATATAGTTTTAAAATCTACAATCTTCTGGTCTCTCTCTCCTTGTTTATTAGCTAAGCCCTAATTTCTGTATATGTGAGTAGAACTGCAGCCTGAGTCATTTAGGAAGTAAGCATTGAGGTTTTTTTTTTTAATTATAAATATACTAGATTAAAACAGCACACCCTAACGATGAAAAAAAAAGTTTTATATTACTTTAGAATGTAATAGGTTTTGTCCTTATTTTATGTCCTGTAAATTCTTAGTTAAATACTGTTAGCATTCCCTGATGATGCACACATGATTTCTGAATGTTTTCTGTAAATGACAATCAATGTTTATGAAGTTCCCTCCTTTAATGCTGAACAAAATTAAAAGAAAAAGGAAAAAAAGTCTTGCCTGCTGGTCTTCTTAACCCCCGGGGAGAAAAGAGAGGGTCAACAGGATAGATGGGTTCAACTTTGAAAACATGACTTCTGGGATTCCTACCTACAGAGCTGTCCTCTTTCCAGTAATTTGTGGGTGATTTTTTTCCTGGAAAATCCAGGATCCTCCAGGAAGTGGCCTGAGTCAAAATTATTCGTTGAGAAAAGGTTCAGTCCCCCTTCCAGGCAAGTACCTGGCCACACTGCAATCAAAAAATGAGGGCAGCCGCTCTGAAAGCTACCAGCTCTGCGATTCTCACCACTCTCAGAAGAGAGCCGTAAGCAGCCTCCCCACGAACACCGCAACTGTCCACTGCCACCTCTCTGACATGAATGTGACAGTCCCTGCATAGAGCAAAGCTTCTGGGTAATGATGATTATGTCTCTCTGGACTCAACTTTTTTTTTTAACAAAACACCACTAAAATCAATGCCTATGAACCTACGAATGCTCTGAATCTTATTTGGAGCCACACTGAAGTAGGTACCAACTGAGGATAATCAGAGCTCCCAGGGATATTGAAAAAAGTAATTCTGAAAGAGGCAGTAGGGCCCCTAGAGCCAAAATACTCCAAGAAAAGTAGTCTAAAGAACAATTTAACAGATTTTTTAAGAAAAAGTATTGAGTTAATCAACAGAAGGAGCCTGAGAAAGCCTCTGTAAAGTTTTTCCAACTTCTCTTAAGACCCATGAAAATCTAATTCTGTGACATCACCATTTATGACACTCTGTTTCTATCAGGTCCACGGTGTCTAGGCAGAGACCAAGCATATTATCACGACCTGCCCCCAGCTCCTGTCAACTGTCACCTACCACTGATCCCAGCATTCTTCACTGTAACGTCATTTCAAGTTTTTTCAGAGCCCCAAGTCAAGGTCGTGGTGAAATACGAGATGAAACTTATCAGTTTTAAATTCAACAAGGATCACAGACTATTACAGCATCTGTTTGACAGCCTCACCAGAAATTATGAATTAATCCCTCTCATTGTTCATTCTGTTTTACACATTCAGCCTTTAAAAAAAAACAGAACTGGTAATGTGTTTCTGTATCCATACCAGGCTGCCACACTTGAGGCAGGTCAGGCTGGTACCAAAGGTCATCGCTGGGATTTGTCCCCATCCCCTAAGTGACACCAGCCCCTTGACAGTCAGAGAAGAGACAGAGGTATAGCGAGCCCCCAAATGCCATCTTAGCAGAGGGTGTCTGAGGCTACAAAACCACTGTGTTAGAAAAGTTTTTTCTTGGACTGGAAATGCAACTCAATGGTACTAACACTTGCCTAGCATGTCCTTGGTACTGAATACAGTCCCTAGAATCAAAAAAAGGGAAAAGTTTTCTCTCCTTGTTTTCTGAACTTCAACTTGCTAAGCTTAACTGGATAAATAAATTTAGTCTAAAATTTAGTCTAAAATAAATTGGCATCATGTGGCATCAGTGTCTCACAGATCTTAAACCACATAAGTTCATGCCATAAAACAAGCATCCCATGAATGTGCCAGTCAAAGGTGCTGGGGACTCCATTCTCTTTTCCAGCTTTAGCTGCCACTTGTATGTTGTCATCTCACGGGTTTTGACCCTGAGTGAATCCTTCTCCCAGAAGGCACCAGGTACAAACATGTTTTCACCATAACAAGAAAGAAAATGTCAGCCCCCTGGCAAGGGGCATTGAAGAGTTCTCTTTCCCCTCCTTTCTCCAGAGATTTAGTCAAAAGCAGTAAGAAAAGAGCCTGAGTGGATGGAACAGGAGCAATCAAAGGTATCTTCTCAGATTTTCCCGAAAGATACCACTGGTGTGGGGAGATGAAAACCGGAGAAGTCAGAGAGCCAAATTTATGAAAGTAAATTTGACATTAAAGCCTAGTCTAGCAGATCTGATCAAATCACAAAATATCAGTCAAAAAGAATCCAGAGGTTGTATGGTTTCTTGAGTTATACCATTGCACAAGTAAGAAATTTTAGAGAAGATCTATTTTCTAAGAGATGGAAACTATAACAGTGATGGTTATGTATTTCTGTTGCCGACATTAAAGCACTGGGCCAAATATCCTTTTAAATGTCAGCTTAGTAACTGCATGCTTTGTGTGTGGCTAAAAGGTGAAGAGACCAGGAAAGAACTTGCTGGATCACACAGCACATTCACAGACTCAGTCTACTCACATATCACAGCCAGGATCATCTCGTGGCAGGCACCTGTAACAGGAAAGGGTGCTGGAAATGTAGTCTAACCTATGCTCCCAAGGGGAATAGTGCAGGGCCTGGGGACCCCTTAACACCCCTGACTCAAATATGAAGGAAATTCAGAGGCATCTCTATTCTCATTCCCATCAGATATTTCAGTAAACATGTATTCGCTCTACTTATAGATTGAATCAACTAAGCTTTGATCCACCGTTACCTGCCAGGCATCGTTCCCTGGGAACTCAGTGGCAGAAGATGAGAGGAATAGATTCTGCTCTTATGTAGTCTGTTTTCTAGGTCCACAAAACATAGGTATGAAGAGGACAAAGGTGTCATATAAATAAAGGTGAAGGATAAACTTTGTTATGACTTGTTAAAAACTCATGAGAGGTCGCTACAGATTGTCACTTAGTCTCTATTTTACATCACCAAAGTCATCTTCATCATCACTCCCCTTTTGCTTGACAGGTGACCCACCACACCGAAGCTCTAATGCGAATAGTCTCTAAGACAGTCAGTCAATGTGCTGTTCGGATCTCTGGACTCACCCGACACCTGATCACCTGCCACTTGAGATATGTTTTAGCCAGGCCAGGTAACTCCACAGTGGCCACTGTCCACTTCAGTGTAGCTTAGCTCATAAATCCTTTCCTCCTTCATTCAAACACATTCAGACATTGCTGCCACCTGCCACAGGCTTCTTCCTGTAGGTCCCAGGAGATGGCAGGTGGGGCTGTCCAGGGTCTGTCTGTCTCTTTCTCCAGCCTCTCAATCCCTCTGTCTTTGGCCCATTTTTCTAGCTATAGACTGAATAAAAAAAAAAAACCTACTCCTCTTGAATTCATTATCACCCATCATAACTTATTTATGTCTTCTTAAGCAATGTCATTTGCTTAATTAATTTCTTATTATTAATCAGACAAAAAGTTCTGTCTCCCATGTTCCACCCTCAGTGGCAGCTAGTTCTGCCCACAAGACAGCACAGCAAGTACAGCTGTTCATCTAGGCCTCTCTTTCCCATTTCAATGCTCTCAATAAACGGACCAAAAGAGCCTCACTCCCGGTCTGCTTTTTCACACGCTAACTAGTCTCAGTTATGCCAAATATTGCTCACATGTCATCTTCTCATAAATCTGTTTATTTGAAGATCATCGGAACCACCAGAGCTCAGGTAGCGACACAGGACCATTCAGTAACCTCATCTGTCAATGATGTCTGTGGGTTTTGCAGACTTTTACGCTTTAAAATGCAAGTTTTGCTATTCTCTGGGTATGGAATTCGTGATATAATTATCACTGAAAAGATATTTGGGATGCACAGTTACCAAGAGGAAGGGGCCCACAACTCCACACAGGACCACACAGAGAAGTGCCAGGGTCAGTCATGAGGGATACAGGCAGGGTCGGGGTGGGGGGCGGGGGGAGGGAATACACACAAGAGCCTTTACAGCGGTTTCCATGGGACAGAATGAGTGATGCGGTGTAAGCAGGCTTGCTTGGAACTGGCCAATTTGTACCACTTCAGTCAGCTCTGGGTGTAAGGGCTATGTCTATTTGTCTAGCACCGGGTCAGGAAGATAGACACACAACAAAAGTAGGTAATTAGGATCTGAGCTCTGGAATAGTTGAATTACATGAGAAAGGTGGACTCGATGGACTCAGCCTAGGAAGTGGCTGACCCTGGATGGGGGCATTTTTTCCAAAATCAG